TCGGCAAAGCAGTAAAACATTCTTGATTCGAGCATGTTGCTCTTCTTTCACAGACCACCGTCATAAAACGAACGGTCAGTGACGAGTACGATAAACTCCTGCAATCTCAAATCAATCCCTAAAACGCTTGATAGCATATGTACCTCAGAAAATACAGACGAGGTCTGAGCGTTGACTTGGAAGCTGCTTCTCAAGAGTTCCTCGTTCTCTCTTTCAATCAAATGAATCGATCATGAAAACGCCAGCTTTGAAAATCCTTGGCCATTTTGGCACATCGAACCAAGGAGGAAGTGCCCAAATGCATGTCTCTTCGAATGCTGTATGAGACAGCATTTCAACTCTACTCTCGAGCCTGTGAAACATCTGAACGATATGCTACACTAATAGTCCTACCTTCTGTCCCTCAGACATCTCCAGTCAGTCCAATCAACTGTTAAGTTTTGTGTTTACAACAACAATCAATATAACAAATTTTCCTCTCTGTTCAGATGTGATAGCGATATAAATATACACACTTTGACGGATCTCCATTTCCTTACTAGCCGAGGGTTATCTCCTTTCCATTTGTAAGCATTATCAAATTCTTCTACCGTTTATACCGTCGAGCCTCCTCTGATGATCAAAGGATAAACACTAAGGCGTAAACAATATCATCTGCTATCTTTAAAGATTGTTAAGGACGGAGTTCAAACGTTTCATCCGGGTTTATATTTGAAATGTCATTCTTTCAATTCCGATCGTCATAGCCAAATCAATCAACTGATTTTATCATGGCCCCCTATTTCTAAAAGGGGTATCGAAATTGGGCACAAAGTTGGGTTTGGGCGACCACATATCCACATCATAACCTGTCTTGAGCAAGTTATATGTTGTGGGTATAATGCACTATAGGAATATTTGTTCTGAGGTTTTTGCGGTGACCGTTAAACAGATACCAGTTCATGAAACATTATTCACAACGATCACGAAACGGTTCTAGCGAATAAAATGATGCGAGCTGCTTCTGGCACTGCAAACGTTCAGGTACCATGGAGCCGAAACCTACTAGAATGACCCCGTCAGCAATCAGGAGCAAGAAAGTGGTGCAACAGGAGGAGCTACGCGGCATCGTGGGCTTTCTGCAATCTTTCCATTGTTCTACTGCCATATGCTGTCATTCTCGATGCAGGGCGTACACACTACGAAGAGGTGACTAGTCCTGACCTATGACCCATTTTTTAGTCGACTCTGATGGACATTACCGAAAGTATCTATTAGGTAAACATAGGGCAGAATCTACAACAATCGAAGAGGAAAATCTACTGTAAGGAAAAACCAAAAAACCGATGACATTCCACAAATGAAGAATCTTCTCATCCCAAGCTTAGAATGAGCCCTAGCCAGCGCGTAGCCAGTGATAGCACATGGGGGTTAGCCGCTCCCTTACAGCGCCTTTTTTATCAGAAACGTGCTTTCGCTGCCACTTTATTTATGCTTATAAATGTTTCAATTTGGAAATACCATATCATTGCCAATAGTGAGCTTATCAGATGGTAGACTACAACCGACTTTTCAAGGGAACTCATTTAGGGTCGAATGAATAGTCCTCGTTTGTTGCTTCTATCGTATGAAACAGCTGCCGCGTTTCGAACCCTAAGACAAACACTGAAGACAGCTGAATAGGCAAACGGCAGTGGAAGGATTGCCGCTTGATCCTGAAGTAAATCTTTACGGTACAAATCAAAATCGCAGGCATATTTGAATTCTTGTTCTTATGCTTGCGCAGTGATCCGTTCTGTACTTCAAAGGCAAATGATTTAGTTTCTCGTCTGCCAACAGCGCGAACCATATACAAGAAACTTTGGAAAGATTTTCAGCCAGTGTTGCGATCTGGCTCAGACTCATGCTTCCTGCTGGTACTCAATCACCAGAGCAATATAGTAGATGCTTCTGACATTTATCAATGAAGCTAATCCTTAACCCAAAAAACAAGCGGTATTCGCTACTTCTAAGCTGTCCATCGACCGATTTACATGCATTACTTTCTAGAGTCATGTTTCACGTTTCCAGGCTATCTGCTGACAGGATTTGCCTGCCTTAAATACAACTTTCGCAGGTGATTTAAAATCGTTTATGAGGCATGCAACGTGTTTCATGCGAATTATGTATCGTAATAGAAATGCGATATTCGTTGAATAGAAATCAACTCGCTTGTGACTTGATTATGATTAGCTTTAATGGTACCTATCAGAGGTAAGTTCCATTGCGAGCGACTCATCGCCTGACATGCAGACATAAGGTCTGGACATCACCTCAAATAACGTTCAAGCAGACACAGCTTTATGAATGTCAGGTGAAAAGAAACGCCATCTCATAAAATGATCCTTTTCTGTGGTAGGATAAATCGTCGGTCAAATTGTGGACTCGTTGTTTTGTTCGGTTTGGCTCATCAATATCATTATCCGTTTTGTCTGGAAAAGCGAAGAGCTTTTAATGATTAAATAGCTGCTTGGTACATTTAGTAGTTCGCTCCGGAATGATGACTACTACCATCGTTTATCACAAATCTGGTTATTAAAAAAACGAATATCAAGATTAACGAGGCATAGATTAGGAATAGACTAAATTTTTGATCTTATTAAAATTTTGAAGATTAAAGCATATTCCGCATCCTACAGTGGTGAACTTGTAGTACACGGTGGTCCTTTCAGGTGGAAAACGAAGTGAATAATTAGAACAAGGTTAACGTTGAGCAGCTATTTCACTAGCGCCATTATCATCTCCATACAAGC